TTCTTCCTTCAATGTCTTAATGTGTAGCTGCCATGTTTTTTAACATTAATGTTTTATTTGTAGGCGTTGAAAGTATTTTTTTAGTTAATATTCTCTATTTTTCCAGACTTGTGGAGGTGCCAGTTTCTGCTACCCCTGGTGTCCCTAGCTTTGGTGTTCCTTGGCGGCCTTGTTGGGGTCTGCGCCTGCCTGTGCCGCAGCTTCACCCCCACCTTGGGTGTGGGAGTGCTCCATCTGCTCGCAGGTGAGCAAAATGCATGCTCATTACTAGTGCTGGGGGGAAACGATTATTTTGAAAACGATTAATCGGGCGATTATTTGATCGATTAGTCGACTAATCGAACGATTATTTTTCTGTTGTTAAATTCATAAAAAACGTAATGTAAAAAAAAGTAATGTAAAAAATTTTTTTTTCACGATGCTGTGTCTCGGGATCTTAATATTTAAGAACCTATTAATGTGTTATACCAGATTAACGGAAATAATCTCAGCTAACTGACGATACAAACCATGTTTACCAACACAAAACAAAACACAAGTCTCATAAGAAGCAAACTAAAATGCTATCTAAATGACCCCTGAGCGAAAAATGCTAACGGACATTGGCACAGAACTCAAGATAAAAGTACCCTTATTACTTATCGTAGCTGCACATACAAGATATCCGATTAAAGCTGAGACTCCACAGATTATGTAGGTACATAGTATCATCACTGAGTGATCCGGACTCACGACAGGGGAAGCAAATACAGTCATCACAACACGTACCTTCACAGAGCTTCTAGGGAGATCGTCTCACCGCCGTAGCTGTCAATCTGATCAAAATACGTGTTCAATGGCATTAAAATGAGAAAAAACGCGGCTGAATCGGTTAATCCATAGGTTTTTAACGTCTATGTATAAAAAAATTATTGAATTTATAATCCATAATTCCATTTGTATGTAAAAATCGGAGAGCAAATGCTAGCTGCTAATGGTTGCCACCACAGCTAGCTGCTGCTTCCGGTCAAGCAGCAGTCTCAGTGAGATATAAATATATAAATATCTTTGCGTTTTGGACTAACTTTAAAATATTCCCATGCTTTTGAAGACCTAGGGCGAGATGTTTTCGTTTGAGGGCTTCGTGCGCAATCCTGTGAGGAGGAGGTGATAGCCGTTTCAGTCTCCATTGTGTTAGAAGTGCGATTGCGAACTGCTTGTTGCTTAGGGTGACCCACGTGTGTGTGGCGACCATATATATAGTCTATGGTGTCGACGCGGAAATATGTCGTCGACGATATTTTGAAGTCGCTACAGCACTACTCATTACTAGGGCTGCAACAAACGACTAATTTGATAATCGATTAATCTATCGATTAATGAAACGATTAATCGACAATTCGGACTATTACTGTATGCCTTGCACAATTTCTCAAACGCTCTTATTTAGCCATCACACAACGACATGCAGTGGGACTCGAACCTGGTACCCCCTGATTCGAAGTCCAGCACTCTATCCACTGAGCCACAGCCGCCCAAAACAGAACTGTAAACAAAATAGCTGAAACTTTAACTAAATAAATAACTCAGTTACCTCTAATCATTAACCCATGTTTGTATAATGTAGTTAACTCTGTGTGTTGCTGCTAGCATACATAACACCTGACGTGGAAACGTTACTCGTGGATGGGGCTACAGAGCTACTAGAAAGACAGTCGAACCCGGTGCATTCCTCCGTCTGAATGTGGAGCACTTTTGCTAAATGTTTAGACAAATTGCTCGTGTTACCGCCCTTACATGCTAAACTCTTATTGCACTTTTGGCAACGAGCATTGTCCACATCGAGACGGGTAAAGTTTAACCACACCTCGGAGCGCGTTCTCTCCGCCATCTCCTCCGTGTGTTGCTGCATGTAGCAGCCGCGTGTGTAAACTGCCCCGCCCCCTCGCACACAGACGGGGGAGAGAGATCTCGTCTGATCGAAAATACATCACATTTGTTTGTCTTTTTGCATATTAGAAACGAGGTAGCGACACTAAGACTGCGATATAATGTTTTTGTAGCAATAATACATGACATATATCTTTTAAATGTCTCCAGTACCGATAAAAAGACCAATAACGTTGGAGCTTAACGGCGCGTAAAACACACGTGATGACGTCACCAACGAATCGACGACTGAATTAGTTGGCAACTAATTTGGTAATCGATTAAGTCGATTAGTTGTTGCACCCCTACTCATTACCTTATTTCACCCATGGACCACAGAATAAATAACAAATAGTAGTTCAAATGTTCAAAAGGGACATTTGGATTTAAGATGCTTTCCACCATCTTGCAATATGTAAACAAGAAAACACAATGCAAGAGACTCTTGGGATTTATGCAAACCCCAATGTATCATTTATATTGGACAGGGTAAATACACCATAGGTTGTTTTTGGACCAGGCTGCTGGTTTTATTTAAATGGGAAGACCTTGTACTAAATGAAACTCACTGCAGACTTTATTTTGTGAAGTGTAACACTAACAAACCACATCTAATAACACTTAAGCATTTAACGCGTGTCTTGGCGGCATCAATACACACACTAACAGTAGCAAAGGTACGGTAGCTGGTATGTACTGATAGGGGCTGCAAATGTGGACCGTTTTAAAATGTAGTGTCCTGAGTCTGACTCACTCACAATGATGGTGCAAGTGTGTGAGCTTGAATAGAAAATAATTGCTGGAGGCATTTGAACCTTGCTTGCCTTAGTCCAGCTGATGATTCTCAAACTTAAAACTAACACCAGCCTGGCGGTGCTGCTTATGGCTCTCTTCTTGTAAGATGAGTTTTCTCTTCATACATTCATATCTGACTTCTAGTAATGAAACCTTTAGCTTTTAATTTCCCAGACACATCAGACTGTTTTTCCTTTGCTTTGAATAATTAATATGAGGGAAACCTTTATGTCATCGATCATTGTTGTAGATCCTGACCTCTGTTGACTTGTGACAATACACAGTCATTTGGTATGTGATATTTGGTATGCCGAGGTGGTCTTTAATTATTTATATTTCTGCTACAACATGCAGTATGAGCAAAATCATGATTGACAGTGATAAAAGTGACTTGAAGCTAGTGGAGTTGTTCTGAGCCAGGGTCCAGCTGTTGCCGTTAAAATTGTTTTGCCTCAGCATTAATCTGTTTTTGTTCAATATAATACATTCACTCTCTAGTTTCTCTCCTCCTCCTGCCTTCACACCTCCACAAACCGAGCAGTGCGTCAGATTGTCTGTTTTGTGTTTCATCTTTGCGTCTCTCCTCTTCAGGTCTGTGCACTCTGGGCACCGTCTGCTGCTTCCTGGCGGGCGTGGATTTGCTCCAGCAGTATTCCCCTCCCCCAGAAGGGGTGGTGGGCTCGTTGGGCTGGTCCCTCTACCTCGCCCTCATCTCCTTCCCCCTGCAGATGATGGCAGCTGCTTTGTTTCTCTGGGCGGCGAGGAGTCACCGCAAAAACTACAGCCGCATGACGGCGTACAGGGTAGCCTAAAGAGAGACTGCTACAACTTCTTACCTGAGGACTTTCTTAAAAACACATCTGTACCGGTCACTTCCTCTGTAACAATCTTTAAATAGAAAGAAGCAGTAACAGGATATCATAGATCTAGGCAGGAACACACCTAACCATTTTTGCAGCGAATCATGAGTGCTTATAATAAGGTTTAAAACCTGGTTATTTCACCTTTTAGTTTTTTCTCAAACCTCTAACCTATAACCTATATCTTAGCCAAAGCATGTTCTATAGTGTATTTGACCAGATATTGTGGGTCATTTGTTTTATCTGTTGTTAACTGTGTTGGTGTGCTGTATTTGAATGCCTTCTTTTTGTTTGCCATTGTTTCCAAAGCTGCTCACCACATTGCCCTTAAATCAGTAATAGGTAGATTGTAAACCCGTCTTTATCTAAGCCAGGGTAGCTTTCTCTATTAGTGCATGACAAATATTATAAAAGCCTTTTTTTATGATTTATTTTTTTGTGAGGTTTTATTTTTGCATGCCTTTTTTTTTTAAGCTGACATTACTGTCATCTGTGGTAGTTGTTGATTTCAGCATGATATGTGTTCACTAAATGTCACTTAAACTGTAACCACTCCCATTAGCACCTGTGTTATAGAATAAATATCTATTAACACGTAAAATACTGAGTTGATTTGACGCCACTTTCGCAAACTTGATACCTCTTTGTAACATTTAAATTCTAATGTTTCAGCCCCAAAATTATACTACTGCCACTTTACATTTGTTAAACTACTTGAAATGTTTTTCTAGACGTGGTTGCAGTCGTTGTCTGTTCCTTTCTAGAGGTCTGTTTGTTCAGTTACCCAACTGACTGACTGGTTTGACAGCCAAATATTGCATCAGTTAAAGCCTTTTAAATACTGCTCCATGATACTTCAGAGCAAATAGACGGGTGTTTTAAACAACAGTTGAAATTGCCGAATTCACTTGCAAGTGAAAATCCTCAGAGATGTAAGCCTCTACACTCAACATCGGCCTGGAAAGTGAATGATATGTCACTTTGTTGTGTGACCAATATTACACATTTCTATGTACCAGATTACAAATTGTGATGTTTTTGTGTCACAATGTTTTGTTATTCGTCTCGTGTGTGTATACACAGGCTTTTGTAAATGTTTTTATGTATTCTGAAGCACACTGTTTCTGTATTGATAAATTGATATTAGCTGACTTCTTCTCTTGTGGTGTACTTTAATAGTAAAAAGTAATCGTCAATCCTTAAACTGAAATTATGTAAGAAAAACTAAAATGCTTTTCTGTTGCTATTTTTTTCGAGAGAGCAATATTAAATTCCCAGGTATTCCCATAAACCTCAACTCAACTTTGTGTTACGTGGCAATGAGCAAAAGTTAACTTGCTAAACTTAGTTTGTGAACAAACATATTTTAGCAGCAAGTCATCAGCGTCTAATCATTTGAAAGTCAAATCACACCATCAAAAACTTCACTGATTCGTGTTTTGCATATTTGCCACAGTTTATAAAATATCAATGTCATAGTCTAATTATTATACAGAAGGTACAGATTATAATTCCAGCATGTATACATGTCACTTAAGTACAGAATAAACTGATTTAATACAAAAACACCCTTTGTTGCCTCCCAGAGATCGCACTGTTGCACAGCTGCTCCTGTATTGTATAGTGATAAGGATAAGGAGGTAATCATGTTATCATGTCCAGCAACTGTCGAATATTTAGTCACTGCACAGGCGAGTACATTTTTCTTGTTGATATGATTTAAAACATGATTATACATATAGTGTACACATCTCTGTGATTATAATTTGAAGTATGTAAATTAAGTCTTGGTTCCCTTCTGTCTCCGTTGTCTCAGTCCTTCTTCACACTTATAGACGGGAGGGTCACTGTGATCTTCTTGGCTAAATGGAAGGCAATCTTCTTCTCATAGTAAGCACACTCATTTATGAAGAGAGGGTGGAGGTCCTCTCCTTCGTACTTCACCGTCTCCCCAGAAAAAGACAGGAACATGGGGTCGCCTGGCTGCAGAAGCTTGAAGTCATTATCCTGGAGAAGATCGAGACCTCTCATAGATTAGTCAAACGCATCAGGGCAGCTTTACAATGCAAGTATCAAGTTAACTGTTACCCTCATAGATTTCTAAATCACAGCAATCTTGCATGTTTGCATTGCAACTGTGTAACTAAAACTACCCTGTGAAACTATTTAAAGGAATAGTTTAACATTTTGGAAACTATGCTTGTTCGATTTCTTGCAAAGAGCTAATCCTGCAATATCTAATATGGGGGCAACAGAGTGTGGATGTGAGCACAACATTGACATATCAGTGGGCCAGAGAATTGACGAGCATATGCTGAGACACCGTAGAGAGAGCCTCTGCCCAACCAACTCTGAGTTTCTCTTGCTATCTTGTTGATATTCCAGAGAGAATGGTCTACATTCTTTGACAACACATTGCAAGTTTTATCTCCAGCAGAGAATGAGAGGCACAAGGCAGCTAACAAACTGATAAGATACTGTATCTTCACAGCTATTTCTTCTGCTTCCTGACCAGTTTGACCCTGTGATTAGCTAAAGAAAAGATGGTTTAATGACTCTGCCTTTGGACAAACAGAGTTCTGACTGAAACTGGCTATAAAGCTCAATGAAGCCAAGACGAAGATGATTATTGTTTGTAGACCCATCGAGACCCTTATGCATTGTTATTTGAAATGTTGTTAGACAATAGGCGCTTTCAGTGAAGGCTTATGTTTGCATGTATCTCCACCAGATGTACTTGTCCTTTACCTGCAGCTCGGGGTGAATGGTAGCAGTAATTTCATTGGTCGTTGGATCCCTTGGGTAGTCTACACTCTTCACGACAGTGTATGCTTCCACTTCACCTTCTTCAAAAGTACTTCCTGTTGGCAAAGTAATGAGTTGTAATGTTGGTGTGTTCAAGGTGGCTAAGTGTCAGAGGTAACGTGGTAATATAACAGCTTTATTAAATTATAAGAAAAAAAATTCTCTTAACCCTGATGGTATCTTGCAGAAGGTTATGGTTTGGCCAGACTTTAAGATATCTGCTGTACGACCCTCCGTTGTACTTGGGTTAGACAGAATTGATCTCAAACTTGAGCAAATAAAAACTAAACTATGTTAATTTCTAGATAACACTATGGATAAGTAATTATGTAGTAACATTATTTTTAAAGAAAACTTCAAATTCAGATTCCTTAAATCATCAAGAAGCATAGCATTTTTACCCAGTAAGCAAAACAAGGAAAGATGAAGAAGGTGCCTTTTAAAATATGTACTTTTATTTGTTGATAATCTCTCTATTTAAATATTTCTTTCTTACCAGAATTGAATTTATGAAGCCATTCTATAGTGTGATCCACTGCCTCTTTCGCCATGTTGAAGATATCAGCTCTGAGCACACCGTTGGGTTGAGGACCGACTTCTATCGCTGCAGAAAACAAGAAAAGCAATTCTAGTATCTAACACAATAATCAGTCGAATTATTCGGATGCATGCAGACATACACACACACTTACAGAAGCCATGTTTACCCACTGACTCCAAGGAGTAAGCCTCAGATTTGGGTGAACTCATCAGCAATGCTCTCACAGGCGCAGAGGTCATGTTGCTCTGAAAACCAGAAAAGTTGCTTCAATTAAGCCCTTTGAGTTTGAACATAAAATACTTTATAACACTTTTATCTGGAATTTGACCATAGATTCAGTTTTTGCCTCATGGAGATATACGGCAGGTCCTTTCTTCCTGCAGTATGTGATTGCCTCTTAATTTCATGGGTTAGTGAACTCATTTTATGTATTCCTTTTCTATCTGTGCTATCCCTTTTGCTGTAACGCTGTAGGTTTTCCCGCTGTGGGATCAATACAGGATTGTAGTTGACATCCTCGTGGATTCATCTTCTTATTACAGACACATGCATTTCCTAACATTCGGTCTATATGCTGTAAAATGTATTATCTCTTCGATTTACACACGGCATCTATTGCACGTCTGTCCGTCCTGGGAGAGGGATCCCTCCTCTGTTGCTCTCCCTGAGGTTTCTCCCATTTTTCCCTTAAACTGTGGGTTTTCTCCGGAAGTTTTTCCTTGTGTGATGTGAGGGTCTAAGGGTAGAGGGTGTCGTTTTTCTCATACTGATATTCTGAACAATCTGTGCTGTTGTATTTGCTGTAAGGTGTCTCTACTGTAGGCTATTTTTATTATATGTAGGCCTACAGCACTTTGGCTCGACCAAAAATCGTTTATAAATGTGCTATATAAATAAAACTTGATTTGATTTGATAAGATTTCTGATGTCTGATATTCTGCACAGAAATGTGTGGTCCCCAGTATGAATAGTAAAGACTTTTATGAATCTCTCTTCTAGTGCCACCCACCGCCCAGGTCTCTTATTGTGTTTTCCTGAACATAAAGAAAGACATTCTTCAGACCCTTTCTCATTGATAAATAGGGTATTCTTTATAATACATGTAAGTAAAATACAGTATTTCTTTATAAATGCAAACATAATTTAATTTGAACCTTATGGGACCTACAGCTCCAGCACTTTATGGTCTACATTTGCGGTTTTTAATCTTTGGCATCGTCCAGGTCAGATGCATGTCATGAAATCTAATTGTAAATATTAGTCTTGATGACTCCATGCTCTTACCTGAATGTATTTGTAAATGTGCAGTGTGAGCCAGTCCAAGGAGTAAAAGATGAGGCACATGCCCATGTTGGCGGTGGTGTTGTGGAGGTCGCACAGCAGATCCACAGCCTCCTGGCTCTCTTTGGGCCCGAGCAGAGCGTTAATCTCCTGGGCGCGCCTCACCTCGTAGGGGGTTGAATCTGTGATGGGGGAACTGGTAGTTGGAAAAAGTAATGAGTTTTCTTATACATGCATCCTCTAAACTAGCCGTTTTTATAATGATATTACAAGGCAGTTTTCAAATGTGAGTTGCTTTTAAAATACTATTGTTAAAGTTTGGTACTTTTACTTTTCTTTTCAACATTACCTCAGCAAGGCTTTTGTGAAACAGCGATTGAGATCTCTTTCTGTATATCTTCTGCAAACCTCCACAGCCCGTGGATTTGATATTACGGTGGTTATAGAAACAGATCCAGTCTGATCTGCCTCCTGTCTCTGCATTTCTCTCACCACGTACATGCCTGTCATCTCATTTCCATGGGTGCCACCACAAATGGCAACCCGGGACACTGGCGAGAAAGTGGCGTTCTCCATCTGTTGGCAGGAACAAAAAGTAAGATTGTTAGATGTTTAAAACTCTTACTTTATTCTGCCCTGCCCTCTCATGAAGCCCACGCCTACACACGTGGTACAAGGTACAAACACGTGGGTCTGCCCAAACTTGTTCAAGTGTAATGAACAGGTTATACATAAACCAGACACTACTGTGACCAGATGCTGAAATAAGGTTCAACCTGATGGTCAGAAACTGAGGTTAAAGTGTTTCAGTCTGTTGTTGGAACTTTCTTTGAATGATTGCAGACGACTTCCTGAACACATTAACTGCCGTCGACCATTTATTCTTCTGTCCCATCAACAGGATCAACTTGTCAGAGGAAGTCATAAACCTGAAGTGTTTTTATGGCTATTTATTTCACTCGATAATCAATGACAGGGGTGAAGGTTTTTGTTAATATTTTTTCTTTAAAGTAAAGCAGTAGTTTTCATTTGTCATTTCTGATTCGCTTGAAGGGGAATTCAAATTTACTGAGTTTAAATACAACACCATAGTCTATATTTTCAATGAATTGTTCTACAATCATTTGATCTTTGTGAAGTAGGAATATGTTATGACTTATTACTAGGATGTAATGTGGTTAATACAAATATTTGTACCATAGTTATTCTTAGTTGGAATAATATGACATATCTCCAAAACTGTTCCTGTGGAATTAATTCGAAATTGTTTTAACTTATGTGTGAATAGGAAGTCTTGTTTGTTATTGTAATGGTAGTTTCAGAGAAAACCTGAGGCAGGAATGCGCTTTGACTGAATGAGATCTGAAACAGGTTAAACAGCTGCTTGAAAACAAACATCTGCTTCAGAGAACAAACAGCACAGTAGACGAGCTAATGGACAGAATACCTAATTATTACTCATGATATGTATATAATATAATAATATATGTTACAAGTCCTTTGTTTCTAGAGTTGGGGATAAGTGTTAAGTCTACAAATGCACAACTCTGCTCAAACTGTAACGGTTTAGATAGGGAAAAACGGATCAATTCTCTATTGTTTTAGTTTGCTGTCTGGCTGCTTGTGTTTTGAAATGGTCTGACAACAAGTTGCATAGAGGACATTTCGTCTGCCAGTGCTTGAATTTAAAGTTAATGGCAGTATTGGCATTATTGGTGCATAAATCATTTAAAAGTTAGTGCAATATCAGGTATTACAACTGTCTCCGTCTCCTCCTCTTTAACACTGAGACCTGCTGATTCTACACAGACGGAGTACATCTTACAGAGAAATGCAGAGATTATACAATCAGCAAGTTGGAAGATCGGGTCACAGCTTGCAAAAGTTTAAAAATTATAATTTCACTAGCCGCTGTGTGAAGCAAGAGCGAGGGTGACAGAGAGGCCTCTACACTGATAGGAAACAGCTGTTGCACAGCAGAGACCAAAACCTCCTGTGGTAAACAACCTCCTGAGCAACTCCTTTCACTATTGCCGAGGCAAAAGATACACAACTATGGCTTTTATGGCACCTCAACATTTAGGATATCTTTTCTATTTTAGTACACAGTTTCGGTTTTCAACCCTCTCCTCATCACAGAAGAGAAAACTAAAAGCAAACTGTACTTAAACACATGTAAGACACAACGTTCAGGCCTGCACGGCTTACCTTTCTTTCGAAGTTCAGCTCTGCTCAGCACTCACTCGACTTCAGCAACCTTTGACCTAAAAGGCAAACCCTATCAGGAAAGTAGTATTTCATAAGCTGCAAGCAAAGCAGTGGCGGTTCTAGACCAATTTGACTGGGGGGGCCACTGAGGGGCCAGTTATTTTCTGAGGGGGGCACAATAAATGCAGGACGAAAAAGAGAACTAGACAGTATGAAGTAATTGCGCATAAGAAAACAATGCAATACAGTTATTGGTATTTGTTTCAGTACACTTATTTATTTCAGATAGATCTTATAGTTATTACTGTTAGCTTCAGCTTAAGTTATAGTGCAATGTTTGCACTAACACCATATTTATATAAAAATAAAGGCAATGAACAGTTACATCTCTACTTTACATAAGGGTGTCTGGACAATCTCACATTACAGCAACAAAATCCTGCGGTTTTTGGCAAACCGAGTACCAGAAAATATACATAAAAAAAACAAAAAACTTTTCATTGTTAGGGGGGCCACAGGGAGGTCAGTGTTAGGTGGGCACTGGCCCCCCTAGAACCGCCCCTGAAGCAAAGTAGGCACTCCGTTCACATGCAGACACAGACACAAATGAATGCAAATTGATACAAAAACGACATACACATACATGTTGGGGAAATATTGTATATTATAAATATAATACAAGGCCCATAACTTTCACCCAGTTTATCAGTTCATACTGTCCTGACTTGGCTGCTGTGCTCTCCCTGTTCCTGCCTGTTGGAGGTGTTATCATTCTATCTTGTTATGCACAATGTTGATTATTCTCTCTGAACTAGCTAAATACATGGGTCTGAGGTAGAGTTCTTCAGAATTGACGTTGCAACTCTACCGTGAAGTCAGAACCTCTGACTCTTTGACTTGTTTTGTGAATTCTCCGGCCGAAGCTCCAAATAAACCCATCAGTGTTTGCCATCAAAGCTCCAGCTCTCCCCGTGTCTCCTTTGAGTCGGTGACTCCTCCTGCATTGCTACACAGAAGTTTCCCCCACAATACAGAGTGTTTTTAGCTGGCCCTCTACTTTCTTGTGTTTCATTCACTTTTTCCTGGGGAGTTTTGCTTACTCTTTTCCCTCCTCCTTATATTCTTCAGATCAAATGTCAGGTAGTTTGTCACGGTCTGTCTGTGTTGTGTTTTGTATGTTTCTGATTTCCTGTTTTATTTTGAAAAGTGTTCACCCCCTGTCTTGTCTGTTGATTCCTGTCTCTGTGTTTGCCCTCCTGTGTCTGATTTCCTGATTGTGTTCCGAGCCCCAGAAGCCATGCTTTGGGCTCCAGTACCGGCCCCAGCAGCCATGGTTCCGGCCCTGTGTCCTGTTGGCGTTCCGGCCGACACAAGTCCCCTCTGGAGTCCCTTTCCAAGTCCCCTCTCGAGTCTCCTCTCGAGTCCCATCTCAAGTTCCTTCTCAGGTCCCTTCTCGAGTTCCCTCTCAAGTCCACTCTCAAGTCCTCTCTCGAGTTCCCTCTCGAGTTCCCTCTCGAGTTCCCTCTCGAGTCACCTCTCGAGTTCATTCTCGAGTCTCCTCTCAAGTTCATTCTCAAGTCTCCTCTCGAGTCTCCTCTCGAGTCCCTTCTCAGGTACCCTCTCGAGTTCCCTCTCGAGTTCCCTCTCGAGTTCCCTCTCGAGTCACCTCTCGAGTTCATTCTCGAGTCTCCTCTCGAGTTCATTCTCAAGTCTCCTCTCGAGTCCCTTCTCAGGTACCCTCTCGAGTGTCTTCTCGAGTCCCCTCTCGAGTCACCTCTCGAGTTCCCTCTCGAGTCTCCTTTCAAGTCACCTCTCGAGTCTCCTTTTAAGTCCCCTCTGGAGTCCCTTTCCATGTCCCCTCTCGAGTCTCCTCTTACGCCCTCTCTCAAGCCCTCTCTCAAGTCCCCTCTCAAGTCCCTTCTCGAGTCCCCTCTCGAGTTCCCTCTCCAGTCCCATCTCCAGTCCCCTCTCCAGTCCCTATTCAAGTCCCTTCTCTAGTCCCTACTCAAGTCCCTACTCTATGTCCTGTGCCGTTGGGGGTCACGCCGACTACTGTTCTGCCGGGGGTCCTGCCAACCCAATGTCCTGGTCCGCTGGGGGTCCTGCCAACTCTGTGTCCTGTTCCGTTGGGGGTCCCGCCGACTACTGTTCTGCCGGGGGTCCTGCCAACCCCATGCCCTGTTTCGTTGCGGGTCCCGCCGACTACTGTTCTGCCGGGGGTCCTGCCAACCCTATGTCCTGTGCCGTTGGGGATCCAGCCGACACCTGTTTCGTTGGGGGTCCTGCCAACTCCATGTCCTGTTTCGTTGGGGGTCCCGCCGACTACTGTTCTGCCGGGGGTCCTGCCAAACCTATGTCCTGTGCCGTTGGAGGTCCAGTCGACACCTGTCTCGCCGGGGGTCCTGCAGTGCCAACCCAATGTCCTATGCTGTTGGGGGTCCAGCCGACACCTGTTTCGTCGGGGGTCCTGCCAACTCCATGTCCTGTGTTTTCTCCTCCCTCCTCACCTGTGTCTTGTTTGTGTGATTAGTCTTGTGTGCATTTAAGTTCTGGTTTTTCTGTCTGTCATTGTTGGATCCTTGTTTGTCTATGACTGTGTTCACGGGGTAGTGTTCTGTTTGTTCCTATTTAAAACCTTGAAATAAAGGTATTTTCTGTTTATTCTGCATTTGGGTCCTGCCTGCTTCACTCAACCCTAACAGAGTTGGCCACTTGTGGTTTGCTTTCTAAACCAATCAGAGCCATTCTGTTAGTTGGGTACAACTTTGAAGTTCTCTAAAAACAATTAGACTACATGCTAGGTCAGGCAGCTTCACTGATACAAGAGCCTACAGATTTACATTCACAGCTGCTGAGGGTTGATCATTACAGGTGGCTCTGAATCAGGGGTTAGTGAGTTTACTGTTTTGGTAAAATGGTAACTTTAAAGCTTTAACGAATGACCTGAAAAGTTCTGCTGGCACAACTGTCTGTAGACATAAAATTAACCGTCTTATAATTTAATGATATGGCTGAAATAGAATCAGAAAAAGGTTTAGGTAGATTTACACATGATAGGAATTTGCTATGTTGTATACACAGTACAGAAAATGAAGTTGTCAAAAATACAACGATTATTAAAATAAATGTTTAATAAAAAAAGTAAGATACATGTTTATAAGAAATATTAATAAATAAACAAACAACAACATGTGAAGGGTATCATTTAAATTGGAGAAATCTGCAGTTTTATATGAGGTAGTGTTAGAAATGTGAAAAATATATTGTTGGAATGTGCAGTTCATAGTTAAAGGGGTGAAGGGTTTATAGTCAGTGTCAGTGGGGTTAGATGGGCCAACATGGAATAGGTGCTTGCACCATGAGTGTTAGGGCAGTTTGAGTGTTAACCTTGTCAACATTATAATATAATATAGCTCTATTTAATTGACATTCATATTATATTTATAGGTTTAAATAGGTTGTAACTAGGGTACATATTTTAATCACGCAATTAAGAGCTTTGGAAATGGTGGACACAATGCCAAAAAACACATTAAGTGCTAGTTTCAAAACAATCCGCTGGCGAGAATCATAACTATCGTTGAGATGAGTATCCAACAAATCATAGTTTAACTTTAGCTACTTGCACAACAAGTTGAGGCTGTACAAGGTATCTTGCTGAATTAAACCATATATAGTTATAAGCCCTGCTGTTGATGTAATCATTCATTTCATAGAGGAAAACCTTTGTATCAACAACCCTCTATTTCCCAAAAGAGTCTAAATGAATGTCTACAAAACGTATATATTTCCCTTCCTGTCCATTAAATCATCCCTTGAACCCACAGATGCATCTTGTGACCGCTCGGAGGGGTGCTGAACACGAGGTTGGGAATCACTAATCTAGTAAATGTTCAAATGATGATTACCTTTTAACCTTTCATATCTTTCCCCTCCACAAGACCCCTCCGAACACTTCCATTCCTCTCACTCTCTCTAAAGGGAAGTCCTGAGCTCCATTTAGACGTGTAATCCAGTCGGATCAGTCACTTGATCATAAGCTGCTCCCGCTCTCTCCCTTTCTCTCTCTCTCTCTCTCTCTCTCTCTCTCTCTCTCTCTCTCTCTCTCATCTCTCTCTCTCGTCTCTCTCTCTCTTCTCTCTCTCTCTCTCTCTCCTCTCTCTCTCATCCTCTCTCTCTCTCTCTCTCTCTCTCACAACAACACAACACACACACACACACACACACACACACACACACACACACACACACACACACACACACACACACACACACACCACACACCACACACACACACACACACACACACAAGCACAACACACCACACACAACACACACACAACACACACACACACACACACACATACACACACATCTGTCAGTATACAGTAGCATCCTAACCTGTTTAACATTTAATATATGATTGAATATCACGATTTATAACAGAGCCACCCTGTTACAATGTGAAACACACACAACATTCAGTCAGTATTTTACTTTTTGAGTTGTCGGTTTAAAATATATTTAAATGCGTGCACTTGTAGTTCACAGTTGTGTTCATACTATGCTCAAATGTGTGACCGTCACAATACACACACATGCATGCACACACATTCACCCTAATGTTTCGTGCTAGAAGACAGCAGAAAAGCTCCAAAGCCCAAGAATAGATGTGATGAGTGGATGACTTACAGTCACTGCCCTCCAGTGGTGGAAAGTACCGGAGTACATTTTGCATTTAAGAATCATGCTTAAATGACAATTTAACAATTTAAGGACAAGTCCTTAAATTGTTACTCTACTGCATACTACTCGACCACAATTTAAAAAGCAATATTGTACCTTTACTATACTACACTTATCTGACAACCAGTAAGTTTAAATGTACATGCTAAAACATATGAGTTTATAAAAGGCAGCTCATGGTAAAGATAAAAACAATGGTTTTGCTTTTGAACCCTCACAAAAATCAAGTATGTAGTTGAGGTCACATCTTTAGATGCATTTTTCAGATAGATCCCAATTATTGACCAATCACTAACTAAACCCAAATGGTTAAATTGTTTTTAATCAAAATAGTCTATCATTTTAAAACCATCTTTATGACCTGAACGCTGGTAGATCGTGAACATGGTAATCTTTCCAATTGCCTTTTTTTCGTTGTACTGTTCGAAATTAAAAGTTGCTTTCTTAAGGAGAAACGGTGATTACTCTTCTCACCTCTCTGGGCATAAATGTATGTCAGTCTGTGTGGCTTTTCACAGGGGGTTCAAATAGGTTCAGACATATAATAATAAAACTGCACTCAATGAAATGTTTGCAGTTAAACAGCATGGGAGCCCAAACGTCATCCTGTTACACACAGATCAGAAACCAGACAGAGTAACGCTCTCATCTCCACTGCTGTTGCCTCCCTTGGGATTAAGTGATGGCTAAATTATTCATATGAAAAGAGGAAAAATAATTGTTGATGCAGCTAATGATATTATCAGCTGTTATCTAATCGCGTGCAACCTTTTCAGTAAGGGGGAACAGGGTGTGTTCGTTAGAGGTTTGAACATTGACATTTGAAACAGGGAGTGGCCCAAAAGAGGTGGCCTCTGTAATGAGGTCTTGCTGAGAGGATACAGACTTTCTGACATTCTGGTGGTCTTTTTCTAGCGTCTAAGGCTTGTTTGTGTTTGAGTGCTCTGATGACCCTGACCATGAACTCATAATCTACCCTTAACCACCTCTTCAGAAAAGTTTGTATTGTGGACCGGACCGGATAATATAAAGTCACATAATAAAATGGAGCTTATAAAAATAGGCACAACAAGTACATTTAAAAGCTTTTTTAAGGTTGTTCCAAGTAGTATACCGTGTGCTTATCGGGGCAGAGATGTCTTCACTGGCCTCAGTTTGGATTTCAACATATTAGGCACTCTGGAAATGCTGATATCACATAATATGGGATTGGTGGAGGCAATTGGAAAGATTCCCAAGTTCAAGATTTACCAACGTTCACATATTTAGGATGGTTTTAAAATGATAGACTATTTTGATTAAAACTATTTAACCATTTGGGTTTAGTTAAGGAGGCTGGTGTTAAATTCAGGAACAAAACTTGAAGTTGTTGCCTGTTACAAATACCTTGGTATCTGGCTTGATGATTGTCTCACTTTTAAACTTCAGGTCATTAATCTGCTTAAAAAGCTGAGGGTTAGGCTATGTTTCTTTTACAGAAATAAGTCCTGTTTCTCGCTTGAGGCCAGGAAAAGGCTAGTCACTGTGACCTTTTTACCTGTGCTGGACTATGGTGATTTGATGTATATGAATGCACCTGCCAATTGCCTGATCAAGTTAGATGCTGCGTATCACAGCGCGCTAAGATTTGTGACAAACTGTAAAGCATTAACGCATCACTGTACCCTGTATGCAAGGGCTGGTTTGCTTTCACTAACTGTACGGAGGCTCAGTCACTGGTACATTTTTATATACAAAGCCATGTTAGGGAAACTTCCATCCTATATCTGCTCCCTCATCTCACGGCGAATTGTAAGTGGCTACTGCCTGAGATCGCATGCTGTAGTTTTATTAAATGTGCCAGCTGCTAGGACTGTCTTATAGGAAAGACAGCTTTTAGATGCGCAGCGCCACTGTCTTGGAATAGTCTGCAACTGAAATGGAAACTGAGCAATCTGGTGCCACTAAATGTTTTTAAAGCTCGGTTGGATGCTACTCAATCGGAAGCTGTTGGTACCTGTACATGTGGATAGTTATGTACATTGTAATCCCTGTGATGATGATGTAAGATGTCCTTTTGTTGTTCTGTTAATGTTTTTATGTTTCATGTGGAACCTACTTGAGCAGGCCTCCCTTGTAAAAGAGTTCAATGATCTCAATGGGATTTGTCTGGATAAATAAAGGTTTAAAAAAAAAAAAAAGTTAGTGATGGATCAATAAATGGGATCTATCTGAGCTTATAAACTCTTCACAATTGTAGTAACAACATGTTAACATGAAACTGATAATTATGGTATCTCTGACATGCACATTGTCAAACACTTTTGGTGGCTTTGTCTTTTCAGGGAATGCACTTTGAGAGATTTAAACATTGTAATGTGTTGTTTAAATACATGTTTGATATAATGCAATGTAATTGTAGTTATTTTAGAAGATGTGGTTATTTTAGAGAAATACAATCTCTCTTGCAGTCAAACATAATTGAAAATTAAAACACATTACAAAATAATTTTGGATGAGAAGCATGAAAAGAAAATTTTGAATTAAATGTTATTCACCCAAACAATACATTGACAAATATTCCGAGAGTTACATCATCAAAACGCTTTTCCAACACTTAATGGCCTTTAGAGTTGATCTGTTTTGAGTTTATGGTTACATAACACATACATTTCTGAAGCATTGTTTTGATGGCACAGCTATGAGGGATTAACTCTATCACACTGAAAGTAAATCAAGTCACTTTAGACAGCTTTAATGCAAGGAAACCCGTAGCAGTAGGCCTAGAAAATAGTCCCATGGGATGGGATACAATTACAACAATGCAGTTGCAATTTTTGAGCAAACTTGTAAAGTTGTTTTAAAAAGTCTACAAGCCCTACTTATATCAGCTTGGCAGCCTATCATGATAAGGAATTTTGACAGGCTTAAAAAGATGGTAAAAAAAACCTGAATAGATTTTCTATGTTTTTATCCTTCACTACATCTGTGTGAGTGGCTGCATCAGGAGCCCTCTGTCTCTCTCTCTCTGGTCACATTGCGCGTATGTTGCGTATCAGACTCAAAGTGTTTGTTGTCGCCTGCCAGCAGCTGACAGCAGCAGATCAGACCGAGGACAGAGGAATGGCCTCTGAACGCGATGAATCCAACTCAACCAGAAATCTGACCAACCAGTTCGTGCAGCCCGCGTGGCGCATCGCGCTGTGGTCGGTGGCTTACAGCACGGTCCTGTTGGTGGCAGTTTTCGGAAACTTGATAGTGATTTGGATTATTTTGGCACACAAGCGAATGAGAACTGTCACCAACTATTTCCTGCTGAACTTAGCTTTCTCTGATGTCTCCATGGCTGCCTTCAACACCCTCATCAACTTCATCTACGCGGCGCACGGAGAGTGGTACTTTGGAGAGGTTTACTGCAGGTTTCACAACTTCTTCCCGGTCACTGCTGTGTTCGCCAGCATCTACTCAATGACCGCGATAGCCATCGACAGGTATGGGGGAACATATGATATACCAACAGCAGGCAATGCAAGTGATATTTATGTCTTGATCATATATCATAACTTGTTTTCTATTTCCATTTAGTGTTTGCATTACAGATTATGTTACGCATTTACATTCCACAGTAATTTGGTAAATAAACAAACATTTGGGTACTTTTACTTTTACTTTATATAAGAATATCTATATCAATATATAGATATATGTAAATGATTGCATTATGAATAATAATTAAAGGCATTGTTACCTCTCTATGAAGGATGAATTGCTCTGACCATTAAATCTCTTGCTTCTGTGTTTTTACTTTATAACGGTCTAGTATTTAATTGAGAAAACCTTTGCTTTAATCAGTTACGTGATAAACAGTGAAGAGTTATTAAACAAATAAGGAAGGATCACCTAATACAATATTTACTTGAAAATCATCTTAGCAATACATTGAGTGAATCAGAGAATACTATGCACAATGTGTTGCCTAATATTTGAAATGACTAAAAGTCCCATATCCTAAGGCTGGGCTTTTCTGGGATTTTAAGAATTGAAGGGCAGCAATGCTTTTGCCATCATGACCCTTTGACTTTGGAACGACCCACCTCAGCTGATAAGGGTCACAGAACGAGAAACCTCTTCTTAAAACCCATTTCCTGTAGACTTTCATGTGTGTGCAGTCATAACTCAAGAGGACGCTGTGACCTCTGACCTGCAGGTACATGGCCCTAATCCACCCTCTGAAGCCCCGTCTGTCGGCGAAGGCCACCACAGGAGTTATCGTGTGTATCTGGAGTCTGGCCGTGGTTCTGGCCTTCCCTCTCTGCTACTTCTCCACCACGCGGGCTCTGCCCCGCAGGACCCTCTGCTACGTGGCCTGGCCCCGCATGGCGGACGACCCCTTCATGTGAGAACACTAAACTCACTGACGAACCCTCTAGCTGATGTCAAGCTTCATCATCATAATCATAACCAAGCAGGGCTTATCATGTTTCTTATATGGCAATTTCTCTGTGCATCATTAACTCCAAATATGTGCTTGTCGTCCCCTTTTCATCCTGCTAGTCATTGTCAAATCAATTAAAAATAAATACTAGATTTTGTGTTTCTGCTCTTTTGCAGGTATCATATCATAGTGACAGTTCTGGTGTACGTGCTGCCCTTAGTGGTGATGGGCATCACTTACACCATCGTAGGTGTGACTCTGTGGGGAGGGGAGATCCCAGGAGACTCATCTGATAACTACCACAGACAGCTCATCGCTAAAAGGAAGGTAAACGCACATTTCTTTAATGCATTCACACTTTTTATTTACACTTTTTCTTCTGTGTGTCTTCGGGTGGAAGCAAGAAGGGGTATTTGTAGGCATATTATGTAGGTTACTTCTCAAGTTTAAAATGATGTATCAAGACAAAATTGTTCTTTACCATCTGAAATGAAAGGAAAATTAAATGTTGTATAAAATGTGTGATAAAATATGTATGGAGATGAAGGAATTGGTTGTAAAGCAGGGGTGTCAAACTCAAGGCCCGGGGGCCAAATCCGGCCCGTGACTTCATTTTCTGTGGCCCCACAAGGGCTTGCAAAGAATATAATATGTTTATTATACGGTTACATGATGATTTACAGAAGCACGTTGCCCACAGACTACATGTCCCACAATGCATCTCAAATTAGACTTATTTCTTCTAAATATGCTTTTTTTCTTAGAATGTGCCCTTTTCTCAGAATTTGACTCTTTTTTTTTAAATGTTACATTTTCTTTTAAATGTCACTTCTGTTTTTCGATTTTGACTTTTTTTCCAGTTTTTCTTTTAAATCATTTTGTGACATTCTCACTGAAGAGACTTGCAATTATTTGCCCCAGACTTCTGCTTTCAGACGTAGTTAATTATGAAGTTATTACCCTATCAGATAATAATCCAATGCAGAGGCAATAATGTAATATAATTAGGGCTGTCTGTCGATTAAAATATTTAATCGCGATTAATCGCATGATTGTCCATAGTTAATCGCGATTAATCGCACATTTTTTATCTGTTCTAAATGTACCTTAGAGGAATATTTTTCAAGTTTTTAATACTCTTATCAACATATGAGTGGACAAATATGCTTTATGCTAATGTTTATTATCATTTGAACAATGACAAATATTCTCATGAATGTTAAATACAACAACCTCTGAACATTACAAATATTCGCCTCAATTCAACCTGGAACCTCTCATACAATACAAATGGTGCGTGTGTGTGTGTGTGTGTGTGTGTGTGTGTGTGTGTGTGTGTGTGTGTGTGTGTGTGTGTGTTGGATCGTTGGAGCTATGTGCAACTCAAGGCATATGCTCGAACGGGAGCTGCCTGGACGCTGCAATCATGTTGCGCACTATCCGTGCTGAGTGTGCTGACTTTTCGTACAATGTCCCACTGTCTGGCTTCCTGCATAAAGTCAAGTGCTCGGCGCAGTTGTGGCGAAATGTCGCTCCTCTGTTTTCATTTAAACAGCTCCATATCCGTTAGCGCAGCTAGCTAGCACCAGATGCTAACAACAACAATGCACGTAAGGTCTCTCTCTCGCTCGCTCGGGCCACACATACACACACCCTCCCGGTCCTCACAATAGCCTGCCGGTGAGCGTGGAAATGTGGTCTGCCACAAGCGGGCGACAGGAGCGGGGCTGTCAGCATCAGCTTGTAGATGGTATTTTAAACTCGATGCGCTCTGAAACTACGGGGCGGCCGAGGGAAAAAAATACACATGCGTTAATCGCGTTAAAATAATTAGTGGTGTTATTTTTTTTTTGCGTTAACGCGTTATTAACGCGTTAACTTGACAGCCCTAAATATAATACATTATTTGATATATATATATAAATTACAACCGGCCCTTTGAGTGCAACCATAATGCTTATGTGGCCCGCGATTAAATTGAGTTTGACACCCCTGTTGTAAAGCATTCACACTGAGAGCCTTTACATAAAAAATAAAAGTAAGCAAACATTTGACGATAAAGATAAACGTCAGTAGGCTAGGAAATATTGGTTGTCTTTATTTAAAAAATAGTGAGAAGAAAGAAACCGTTTTTCAATCAATTCTTAACCCTAAACCAACAAATAACAACCATCAGATCGACGTGTTATATCTCAACCAAAATCTTAAATGTAGCATCAGCAACTAAATGCAAATCTGCTGCAGGGTGAGAAAACACTGGCTCACTTACAGCGTCCATCAGGAAAATGTGTCATGTGGAGCTGCAGGGCACAGAGTTCAGTGAATGTGCAAACTGAGAACACTACCTCAGAACAGTTAGAACTATACTTGTCATTTTTAATATTGACTTCTGAAAACATGTTATCCAATTGTCTAGATTTAGAATGCATCCAGAGGATCATATCCCAGTGTAGCTCATCATCAGCCAGACTTTGCAGCAGCTACTGTGAGAGAGGAGGAGGGGGGGATTAAGGTCATCACAGCTGTCATGATAAGCATCTATATATAAGACAGCCGCAGGATTATCACCCAACACTATACAGAAATACAGAATGTATTGATAAATTAGAAATTCTGCAGGTATAACTGCCGGATTAGTGAGCAGACAGTTTCAGGACAAGGGGATTATTCAGTGACAAACAATGTTTTGGATTAAAAAACGCAAATAATTAGTTTGCATTTTTTTCTCGATAATATCAAAATTACAATCAATTTAACTTAATACACCTTTTTTTGTATTTGTGAAATACATGTTAGATGAGAAACAAACTACAAAAACAAATTACTTTAAAAAAAGTTGTATTGTTAAGGTTTTTTTAGCATCACTATACCACAAATATTCATTATGCAGAAATCGAGACAGCAACAGGTGCAAGTTGCCATTCAAAATCTTTTCCAGGGCTTTATAGAAAAACAGAAATCATCAGAGGCTCATATTGCTGGCCAATTTGAGCGGTGGGAGATAAAAGAGATCTATAAATGTCAGGAGACAAAGGTTTCAAGACAATGTCGTGCTTGATTCAAAGGCCTGTGCTGACAAGATGCCATTTGGGCTGGAGATAAGAGGAAGTTGCTCTCATCTCCGTCCCCCAGATGAGCCTCTGCTGATGCTGTAATGGCCTCCTGCTCTCTCATCTGTCACACCTGGAACCTGCCGGGTCCGATGCGTCATCACCAACCTTTCTCTCTCTTCCGTTGAATGGAAACGTTATTGGGATCAGAATGAAGGAGAACGGACAACATGCTCCCTACTTCAGAGACAATTTGCATATTTATCCTATTCAAAACCACAGTGAAATGACATTTAGAGAGTTTTTCTTCCTTGATGTTTCTCCAGTTGAAAGGGTATATTAACCTCAGGGACGATTCGTCATTTTTTAAAGCTTTCTTCTTTTCATTCAGTGTGAAAAAATATGGATCATTTAAAAGCTGCACCAATCAAATGTTAATAACAATAAAGTACCCTTTGGAAGACATCCTTTGAAGTGACAGGAAATTACCAGGCAACTCTATCGAAGCTCTGCTGCCGTTCTGCTCCTTTTGACAGCCTGCAACTTTTCAGTTTTACTTCAGATCACATCCACACTAAGCACAATTTAGTTGTTAACATCGGATTTGATTTCCTCTCTGTTTTAACTTTATGCCTCAACTATAACAGCCTTGCCTGATAATTGCGCTTTTCCCAAACAGCCTATAGAATATATAATCAGTTTGTTGTTTCAATGCAAACAGGGTAAACCTGAGCTGCAGTTGTTCAGTTTGAATGCTGAGGAGAGTTCTTGAAATGTTGAGTTACTAGTAATTTCCCTCCTTCCTCTTCCAGGTGGTAAAGATGATGATCATCGTAGTCGTGACCTTTGCCCTCTGCTGGCTGCCCTATCACGTCTACTTCATGGTGACGGGTCTCAACAAGCGTCTGAGCAGGTGGAAGTACATCCAGCAGGTTTACCTGTCTGTGCTGTGGCTGGCAATGAGCTCGACTATGTACAACCCCATCATCTACTGCTGCCTCAACAGCAGGTGAGTGCAAATAAGTCTCCACAACAACCCAGGAACTGTTCCCATAAACTGCAGTGTGATTACATGTCGGGGTGATTTGGGTGCAGGTTTCGGGCCGGCTTCAAGAGGGCTTTCTGCTGGTGTCCCTTTGTCCACGTTTCGAGCTACGATGAGCTGGAGCTCCGAAACACAAGACTTGGACCGGGTCGCCAGAGCACCGTGTGCACCCTCTCTCGGGTGGACCCCAGCATCCTCAGCAAAAAGAAGAGCACCTGTCTCAGACTCAACTCTGAGCCCAGTCATAAAGACAGTTAGTTTTCTCCACTCGACACAATGCAGCTCAACAGGTTTAATAGGCACATTACTTTGAGATAGAAAATGCTGATTGGACTGTATTTGGTTTACTTATAGAGCTGATCATTTCAAATGATTTACTTAACTCAGTTGTGGTGAACGCCTCAAACTGTTTTAGCTGTGAGACATGTCTCCCCGATCATTTGACCCGTTTATCAACAGCTGCAGCAGTTTGTGTGACACACTGGAAGCATTAAAGCACTCAGACATAACACACATACATTTGGATTAAGTGTAACCAACTCTTTCAAGGGATATTTCATTTTTTCACTATCTTTGTAAAGCGACTTTGAGCACCTGTAAAAGCGCTAACAAAATAAATCTATTATTATTATTATTATATTATTATCAAGTATAAACCCTCCTTAAAACTGCAGAAGTCGTGCAAAGGAACTGCTTAATGCGTATTCAGCATAACTTCAATGGTGCTAATTTGCCAAAATGTAAAAAAATCTGCTGGTAAAATATCCTACTGAGTTCAATTTCATTCAATAGTCACACAGTACATCTCTTTATTATTTATTTATTTATATAAAAATGTTCAAACATAAAAAATGTATTCATTTAGATATCTAACACATCACAATGATAATACTATTTATTTAATGTTAAACGAGATGCTTTAATATAACATGGAAGTATGTGCATTTGGTATAATGCTCTACTCATGGTATGCGTGTATTTAATGCCTTCAGACAGTTACTCAGTGGATTGAATGAACTGTAGGGTCGGTATTAATGCTGCTTACATCGTTATAATGCCCTGGAATCCATTAAAGTGACTGACTCAAATGATCCCGGTTGGATTTAAATTCACAAGTGCTTGTTGCTGTATTTGTTGTTTGTCGTAGAAAGTGTGTGCCATTTAAGCCAAGTTCAAATCCACTTGTCCTGTACTGTAGTTCACTCAACTCAGTAAGAGTTACTTGTTGTATATAATAAGTGTATGTACAGTATGTGTTCTGATGTTCGGTGTAGACTTAAACACACATTTGACACACACACAAAGTAAATATAGCCTTTACGGTACATTTGTGTTTTGGTGTTGTTTTAGTGCTGTAAAAACAGAAAACCAGATTATTTAAAGTTACTTACAGTTTGAATAGTCCGTTCATCACTCAACACAGATCTCTGCAGCTGCTCTTACTTTGTTCCACTTGAAATGTTTGGTATTAATATGGGTGCAGCTATAAGGATTACATTCACCACAACTCTTCATCATCATTTTTATTGTTTTCATCTTAAAAAGAAACAACCATTACATTTCACATGTAAAGCCACAAAAAAAGATGAAAAGTCTGTTCTCTGAAAAATACAAATGTAATTTGGAAAAAGGCATGCTGGGAAGTCTTCTATAAAAACATATATTCACATTGAGTCAATGATAAAACATGAGTTGATTCCTTTGTTGATTGGTTTGTGTGTGATGCTTCACAATGTGTCCGTTCTATTGGTGAGCAGTTTTGTCTTTATTTGTAATTCTTGCAGAAAGAAACGACTGCATGACTTTAAATTACAATTGACTATGTGGTGATTTTAAAGGACATTTGGTTGGGTTTCTAGGTCAAATTGCATAAGGCCACTTTACTGTATAGGCCAGGATCCAGACAATCCACAGTTTTCAAACTGCTGTAAGTGTAGTTGTCACATGGAAAGATTCTCAAAGGTGAATGTATAAAAGGTTGTAACAAGTTTTGAGAGAATAGAAGAGCAATTCAACCAGTATATGTGTTTATATAAAGCTCAACTCATCTTAAAGCCCCCCTCCCCTCTCTCTACTGCACACACACTAACACACATTTAAAATATCCACAAAAAATAACTACAAAAAAGCAGAGGTCTCATCAGAGAGTATATCATTCTGCTGATATGCATGAAGAAAATGTTTTGGTAGTAATAAAGAAAAACTGAAATTACTGTATTTTTTGCAAGCAACTACAAAAGCCTACGCGACATTAACTGTCAGCATTTCAACCACACAGATGGTTTGTTGTTCGTCTTCAAACAAAGCAGCGTTTTGTGTTTTAGTAACTCCCAATGCAATCTGAGTTGCTGATTACTTTTTCATCTGTCTAGTTAAAGAAAAAAAGAGAGAAAGTCATGAGCATCAACACAAGCCACTGGCTGAAGACATCAGCTGGGGACCTAGAGAGAGATGGAGACAAAGAGAGAGTGATGAATATGCTGGGTAATATTGTTATGTCTAAATATCTTAGAGACCGGGAAAATATATTTTTCCCAACCAGTTTCTCTACAAGCGAGAAGGCATACACACAAATCTAAATGTCTGACAATCGTTTAACAGTTTTGGATATTCCAGAGATTTTATTTAACAGATTTCTGGAATTGTTGTTTCCTCTGTGCTCTTCTTCCTGGTATGAAGTGAACAGGGTTAAGCTTTTGAGCCTCAATCAGGAAACAGCAACATTATAATCAAAATCCAACGTTGGGGGGGTTGTTACAAGCCCCCAGGAAAGGCCCTGAGCCTTAAAAAACAATGTTGGTGGTGAGCAAACTGTGAAATTACAACCTCAACAACTTTCGTACCATTTACAACATTCGGCCCTAAAATATTTCGACACTTAGAATTAATTTGTAAATAAGTGAATGATAAATTGTTTTGTGATGAATAAAGATTACTTAAAAAAACATTATTTAATCATTAGGTCCCAATGTTGTGAAATGCACTAAGGACTGTTTGAATGAACACTAATGCTCTAAGGGTTAATAGTTTTCTTTATACATGCGTGGGTAATTAGTTAATGTCACCACTTTCAATCCAATCTGGTCGTAAATAATCCCCTAACTCCTCTGTATTTTTTGGTGAACAAATAGTTTAGATGTTTTTTTTATTTTCAGATAAAGGGAATTATTATGGACATTGAATAATGTAGTAAGTTGTTCCTGCACATGCTCCCTCCAACACCCCCCCCCCCCCATTTGTAGGTTGTCGTCTGTCAAAATAAATAAATAATTGACACTGAAAATGCAACAGAAAAGGGACAGCTATTAGATATTTTTGAAAATTATGAATATTGTCAAAGACTGTCAAAGAGCAATGTATGTGGCTGTATGCATTTTTACATTATTGTAAACATTATTGTTCACCAATTTAATCATGACCTATTGTTTGCTTAAAACATTAGCATTTACATATGTTTTTTTCTTTTTTTCTAAGAACCTCTTCGTCTTAACACTCCCTGCCCAAACCTTTACCTCTGCTCACACAGGCTGTAAGTTTGACTATCGAGGGTTAAACTCCTCTTCTAAGTTTGGTTATTGCATATTTGCTCATTTTCAAATGTATATAAGGATGAGAATGCTGTTAAATGTACATGAGGCCAGATACAACGATGTGGTCTTTTGAGTTATTTCACATATTAGACGCCAAGTAATATTTCATGAATTATTCATAATTCTGTAACATTTATAGATGAAACAACGTTTTGATTAAGGAGCATTTTGAATTCATTATTATTTAATCACTCTTACTTATTGTGGGATTGAGCAAAACATACAATATTTTAATCCAAAAAATGTCTTACCGTGACAGACAGTAACAGTTGTGTGTGCTTTGCAGGGATGAGTGTGTCAAAACGATTGCAGTGTAGTCAGAATCATTATCCTCATCATTTATTTCCTTTGCTGCACCCACAGTAAACACTTCCGCCGGAGATAAGAGGGCCATGTCCGTGTCTTCACTGCAAATGTTGTTTCCCAGTTTCATGAAGAAGCAAGAAGTGATATTAAAGACGACCAGCCCATCAAAATCCTTCATTCTCTTCATTGAACTGTAGCTTGACCAAACTTTGGTGAATTTTCCAAATCTCACTTTTGAGCCCTGTTGTGCTGTGTATTTCTCTCTGATAATATGCACAGTCTCACACTTATTTGGATGCAGCAGCGACATTGAATCCATGAGCAGGAAGTGAAGCGACTTGTAATGGAACTGGCTTTCATAGGTACTAACATTTCCCATTGTCTGTACTGCATTGTCAAAAGTCTTGGAAAAATCTTCATCCCCTTCAACATATGCCAAAAGTGCAGCCATATGTTCTTTTGTTCCTCCAGGGATCGGCTTTGAACACGGACTAGTTGTGCTCCATGCTTTCTGGAATCCCTCACTGCTGTTTAGCTCCTGCTTTAGGAGCCCAGAGTGGACAAACTTCTCCAAGGCCTCTTTACGGCATCCATTGTACATGTCGTCTATGGCATCTGGGGCCATGTCCAGTGTTGCGCTCTCTGCAGTCACCTTTATTGAGTATGGAGTTTAAAATATAGATAGAGAGGAGAATATTATTATTTTATTCTAACATAACATCACAACAGGTTTTGATGGCTATTAGTAAGATCAATAAAACTTACTTTGTAGAAGAGAGCTGTGAAAACAATTGAGGCTAGAAGCATTTTTCTTCTGTTGCACATTTTGAATGCCTTTTCCCGTGTACTGTCTGCGCAGAATGCTGAAACAGAAATCCCAGAAAAGCTTTGCAGGACCAAACTTGAACAGAAAGTTGTACACAGTCCAACAATGGGATGATCTATCTTGTTGCTCCAATACTTTGTTTGGACAAGCCTACCATCCTAGATCTACCATTAACAGTTTTCCTCCCTATAGGAAAAAAGCACCCTAGATAACAAGAAAGTTTGCAACCCTAAAATGAAAAGAAAATATTGAAAGACACATACCTTAAGATAGGCAAATTAATTTATTGGAACCAAAATCACGTCTTGTTTCATCGAACTGCAGGGGAGTGATAATTCTCTGCAGAACAATGTCTCTGGTGAAGTCAAAACGTATCAGGCTGAGCAACGCCTTTTCCTTTCCTGTGGAAGGAAATAACATGCTATTCAGATCGCTGATGTCGAGCTATTCCTTCTGTTAGAGCTACTGAATTACAGAAGTGAGCACTTTCTGATGAAAAACAAAAAGAAACAACAGAAACAAATATATAAATAGTTCAGCCTACAAATGGCTAAAGCTGGATGGTTATATTTTATTTTTACAAACACATTTGAATTGATAAACTGTAAATTGTTCCTATAGGTTCCCCTTTTCTAACATGCGGTCCAGTTTACCTATAGCTTGACTGGAAACAAATTACTTGCATTAAGCTTTCACTTGCTGTATTCAGTAAGGAATGAATGCATACATGCTCTACTGAATGTAAAAGTAGAATAACCTTTAATAAATTATAAATAAACTTGCCTTTAAATGAAATCTTTAAAATGTAGTGAAACAAGTTTTGATGAACAAAAAAGACAATTGCATACTCTTCTGTTGACAAATTTAAGTAACTGTTCTCACTGCACAAACACTTACCTGAACATACTGTTCATGCTGTTTTCATTGGTGCTCCCCCGAGACAGTCAGCACTTGCTACTTGGAAAAGTTTGTTCCTCCTACTTCCTTCCTTCCTCCCCTCCCTGCTGGCACAGAAAGAAGTAGAAGCTCGCGTGACAGCACTTTTGTAATTCTAAAAAATGCTCTTATCTTATCACCAAGATAATGTGTGTGTGTGTGTGTGTGTGTGTGTGTGTGTGTGTGTGTGTGTGTGTGTGTGTGTGTGTGTGTGTGTGTGTGTGTGTGTGTGTGTGTGTGTGTGTGTGTGTGTGTGTGTGCGTGCGTGCGTGTGTGTGTGTTTAGTTTTAAGGTGCCCACAATAGCAATAATAGGCATAGTTAAAAAGTATCCATGAAGAGAATTAAACACATCCAACAGCCTAGTTGGTGTAATGTTGACATGTTATAAGCTTCAGGTATGACCAATAAAATAACAACTCTTTAACCCTTTAACTGCCAGCACCACCATTTGGTAGAGCACATTTTGTGTCTTGATATCTTGTTGAAAAAGAAAAAAAAAAGTTGAACTCCATCTGATTCAGCCAGCTCTACCCTTTGGTTGACATGTTATGCACAAAACAACCTCTAGATGTCACTGTGGTTCGAACAGAAAGCCCTTCAGCTAGCTTCTTCTGAGGAAGTTGGCAATGCTAAAAATCACTGCTGAAGAAATCACTCTTTTTGGTCAACTTTTGTAAGGTAACTATATCCTTTTTGACATATTTTAGTGGCAGGGCACTGACTGAACATAATTAGATAACTTGATGCACAAAAAAAGTTTTAACAAGGGTGTAATTATTTTTTTGAAAATATGCTCAACCAATCGGTCGAATTGGCCTTTTATGGTAAACTATGGGCTCAGAACAGTCTCATAATACACACATGCGCACAGAAGGATTCACACGTGTATTTCATGATCTGCAAAAGGATTCACACTTGTATTTCCGGATCCACACTTGTGTTTTTCAATGCACACACAAATGTATTCCGTTTCATATACATGTAAATAAAATCCAAATACAGAAAAAAGTTTTACATGTGTATTTTTGATCCTCACATATTTGT